TACAAGGCTGAAGGATGCTTTACCGAGTGCAGGGAGATAGGAGGCTTCTCTGTGAAGCAGGCTAAGGATGCTGGCTTTTCTCTCAAAGAGATCGAGCTGGCTGGCTTTTCTTTGCAGGAGGCAGGCGATGCTGGTTTCTCGGCTATCGAATTGAAGAATTTTGGCGAACAAAAACCGCGGTATGGAAATTATGTGCGTAGAAACAGTGGTCGCAGGACAGAATCAGGTTGTCCCACAATGTGATAGCTGATGAGAGAGGAATGATAGAGCCAGAATTATATAGTGGATTAAGCGTAGATTGCACAATCCCAAAGGGGATTTATATGGACATTTATCAGACATCTTGGGGGGGTTGTGCCATTTTCTATGGAGCCGCTGTTTTTCCGCTTGTGTACAGCTTTTTTCCATGCCGCGGACTGAAGAAGAGAGGCTGTTTCCTGCTCTGCTGGAAGCTGTTGGACAAAGTGCCAACATCTCAAGAGAGGTTGAACAGCCTTATAGCCCACTCTCTGTCAACCGGGTCGTCCAGCCCACGCGATGTACGCCGATGTGTCGGATGAAATTCCCGCCGAAGGTCGGTGCGAACGAGAAATCTTCGGAGAACGAGTTCTTACAGATCTAGTTTCTTGACTAGGAGCGCAAAACTGCCGCTCCTCAGCCAAGGAGTTGCCAAGAAGCCCCCCAAAAAAATGCACAACATCAGCAACTGCGCAACTGTCAGTGTTTTTGTTGGACCATGTTCCCTCCAGATGTCCTGCTTGTAGTCCAGAGCGACGGCCAAAACACGCGAGCCAAGACTTGGTTGAACCATGTTGAACCGTCCGAGGACGGGTTCGGCACTCCCCAAGGGCCGGAGCGATGCCGTGCCAGGCAGGGTGGGGGAGGGGGAAACGAAAGGGAAGGCTAAAGAGAAAGGGGTATGGTAGGGGATCACCTACCAATAGGCCATATAGAACTTGGCAACTTTGCTTGTAGAACTCTACAAACATTCACACACCCAGACGCGACGAGTCTGGGACTGCCATATACGCCGACATTGACCCCTCAAAGCACCTCAACTGATCGGCATAAGTCCTATGGCAGTCCCATGGAGCGTTTGGGACATAGCGATGTGTTGATCTATAAAATTACATGAATCTGCCTCTTCCTCTTCGTGTTTATGATGCTTCTGTTCAATTCAACTGGATGTCAATCGTTCTTCATAGGTAAATCCAATTGAATGGGAGATGCAAGGATGGCACAGGACAGGGGAGAAGGAGCATGGTATACATATCTATGAAAGATATGCTTCCCCCCCATTATAGTACGGTATAATAAATATATGTTTATAGTTTTGTAGATGTGGGTGTGGTACAATTCCTTCTTATACGTGTTTCCGAGAAAAACAACAAAAAGCTTGGCACCATGTGGGGAATCAGCCGATGAACATGTTCGGATCAGTCAAGAGCAAAACAGACGCCTAGTGACCTAGCATATATGTTGGTGAAGGATCACGTCATGACCCAAAAGTGGATAGAATCCTGATAGAACAAAAAAAAACACATTTGTCCGGGTCATTGGTACCATAATTTTGAGCCAAACCGGCAAACACTTGTTCCTTCCCACAAGCCGCAGCGATGCCGCGCATCACATTGCGGATTATACTTGCAGTGATTTGCAGGGATGGAGTGATGGCAATCCAAACAGAAGCCGCGGGGCTTGCGGCACATGAGAGTCCTTCTAGCGTTTTTGGCTCTTCAATTTCCACCACACTGCAGACACTATGCCCAAACTCGGGAGACGCAGTAGAGGCGGTGTTCCAACACAGCCTGCCTCAGAAAGACAAGAAGATGATCAAGAAGGCTTTGCAAAACGCTGTTGACTTGGCCAGATGTGGGGCAAAGATCACGGCAAATTTGAGGGGGGCAAGACACGCCATTTGGAAAGACTTTCACCAAATACTTCGGAAAGGCATACCGGAACCAGTCGTTAGTAGCAGCAGCAGCAGCGGTGCATGTCAATCTGAGGAAAGCAAGCAACGTTTTGCTTGATGGCATTGCTGTCAAGACCGTCGACTCTTCACACAAGCGCTGCCAATGCTCAAAACCAGATACGCGCGACCTCCTCGGAAGTTTGCTTCCATTTCAGTGTCCTGATGAGGAGCGCTTAGGTGCCTTTGTCCAGTTCGAAGACAATGTTGTTGTCAAAGGCAAACATGGCTTTCCACTTATGAACATTTGCCTGCAGAGCCATGAGAAGGCTGAGTGGCTGGGGTTTACGGTGTTACATGAAGCTTTACATGTCGCAAATCAAAGCATCGGAGATATGGAAATTGAGGGCATCAAAGCGTACGGGGCAGAGCGGTGTGAGGCATTGGCCGAGAAAGGTACCCCGATCTTGAACGCTGACTCATATGTGTTCTTCATAGCGGGGTGCTTGGAGAAGAAAAGGGAATTGAGACAGTCGCAAGAGAATGAAGAGAATGTTCGCAGTTTTTTTTCAATTGTAGAAGCCACCTCCGCTAAGAACCGGCAAAAAAAAGAGCAGACGAGATTTATAGGCAAATCTGACCTTTGCACGTCGTAAGCAGCACGGCCAAGCCGCGCAAGGTCTTTTTGAGAGCTCAAGTTGTCTACAAGAGACATGAGCAGCCTAGGCAGCCATTTGGCAACATCCGGTTTTCTTTGGTTCACTGCCCGACCGGTCGCTTTTCACTCACTCTTCAGGTTGAAGCGACCGGAGACGATGGGAGCTCGCTCGCTCGCTCGCTCGCTCGCTCGCTCCGGAATGGACGGTGGGAGGCCTGGGCCGAACGGGAGTTCAAGCAGCCCAACGAAGTGAAAGGGGGATCCCATCACGATTCGTGGTCTTCTCCTGCTTGGCCCCTAGTAGCTTCAATTGTTCCTAGTAGTACGGCCAGGAGGCCCGTTCGTAGTGTCCTTGCTCCGTTCGTAGCGATGCCAGGAGCCCCGTTCGTAGCTTCTTGTTCCTGCTTGTCCTGAAAGACCAACTCTTGGAAATTGGAAGGCCATTCCGGGTGGTCAGACCACACCGAAGAGCCGTTCTTATTGTTCCGGATCAGCTGTGGGATGACACTTTTTCATGATTGATATGATTCGTGAGTGCCCATCCTGCTCCCAGGGTGGGGGATGGTAGGGTGGTAAAGACTTCGTTGTGGGGATACACTAATACACCTGTTTGCCTATTCACAACCATTTAAGGAGCACGCGCTCTTTTCTGCCACGAGAGGTCACTCGTACCACTGCCTGTTGTTTGTGCCTGCCCGTCGTTGGTGCATTAGCATCCGGTCACGGTGGCGGTTCCTTCGGAATTGGTGCCGTGAACATGAAATCGAGGACCAAAGAAAACCATGATGTGCAAAAAAGCTGTGTGTTTTTTTTGTTTAACATGCAGTTTGTGTTTGGATGATTTAGACCTTGGTTTCGCAGAACTAGTTCTAAAATATGAGCCTGATGCTGGAGAAGAGTTTTAGAGTCTTTAGAGTACACTACTTGTGATGCAATGGCTTTGAACCTCAGAACTGGCTGATTTTTGTTTTCGTTATCTTGGATGATCTTGGATGTGCCTGCAATCTCCACTATGTACATGTAGCACTGGCTGCCTTATCGCTTTATTCCGGGTGATAACGTACAACACTTAAAAATCTTGAATATCTTTAATAAGCATATAATATATTGATAAATACATATGTGTTTTGAAGACACGGTCAGAGACAAGTCTTTTGTGCTTAGAGGTTGCAGCACTGCAATTGCTGCATGGCACCAAGCCAGCCCCCAAAGAGCCACCCAGCCCAGCCAGAAAGCCATAGAATATGAACTGCTTAGCAGACTGAAAGAGGTATGTGTTGCATTCTTTTGGTGGATCTTGCTTTGGGTTGGCAGATTTTATTCTAGTGGAACCCTCTTTCCAATAAAGTGCGTGGGTATTGGAGCTGAGTGAGCCGCGGGGGGCCGACGTCTAACATGTTGCCTTGGGAGTTGATCATTTTGTTATCATCAAGTTGCCTCCGCTGAGGTATTCTGCTAGCTTAGTCAGATTATGTATTTGCAAGGTTGGACCCCACATGTGTATTCTAAAGTACCTTGGCTACCCCCCCTGAATTATTCTATTTTTGGGGCGTGCTAAGTGCTGACCCGGAACCGTGGTCTGATTTCGGAACGGATTCCTCATGGGTCGAGGTTCAAAAGCGCCACGAAAGGGCTCGCCACGAGGTCGGTTGTTCTTGTGGTTTTGCGGAGGAACATGTTCATTGGTTCCTGGACCGTAAATCCCCAGGTCTTGGTGTTTTTTTTTCAACTGTAGCGATTTGCTCAGCCATTCCACTTCTGAACCCGACTCCGCAAAATCGGCACAGAGCTTCTCAACCTCGGCTCCACCATAGTGTTCGCATAATTGGGATACATGATTTGGGTTTGATGTGCTTCATGTATTAAACCATCATTTGGTTTATACCAAGCATCTTTGATTTGGGTTTACTATGGTTTACTGGCCACTGGTAAGCTGTGCAGACTTGCTTCTGTAGCGCCTTGACGGCAGTTTTGACTCATTTCATTCCCAACAAGCCCATGCCTTCACCCACAGAGAAGACGAGGGACGGACACGGACACTCACACGCAGGACCGGTCGTGTCAACAAGCAGGACCAGGTCCTCTTCGATCCCTTACTGGTGGTCCATTCGATAGGGGATCATGGTGGATCCGGCACCGCCCGCCCAAGGGCGGGATCTCTTTTGATACCGTTGGGTCCGTGGGGTCGTTTTCCCACATGGGATACGGCCGAACCTCGTGATTCTGAGAGAGTTGGAGTGAAGACAGGGAGAGGGCGACGTACCCGGCCAAAGCTGCTGGGTCGCTGGTTTCATCCTGACGGCTCGACTTCCAGCGATCATGGCGTGGATTCCTGTACCCAATGTGGTGGGACTCATGAGCTGGATGGTGGAGATGTGTAGCATCAAGATGTGGAAGCTCGTCTTTGCGGCAAAAGATTCATAAATAGTTCTTGCTGAACAAAGGTAGAACCAACACATATCATTATCCAACATATCTAACACATATCATATGAGAAGATAGGACCAACGAAACCTTCATAGCGTTAAGGCTTTTTCGGTCAGTCCTCGGTCCAAGAGTGGGGCAAACAGGCGTAGAGGCACGACCGACTGCCTGAGTTTTTTCCCTCCCTGCCTGATGTTCCGACTGCCCAGGGAGGAGTGCACGACCGACTTCAAATGCCGGACAAATCACTTGCCCTCACTCCTGGTGCAGCCCCTGCAGTTCGAGCTGGCTAAAGTGGAAGAGGAGGCAGAACTGGCAAGGCTTCATTATTGGGGATCAATTCTCATGTTGCTCAGCCGCGGGAGGACAAGTCTTTTGGTAAGCTTTGTTTCTGGTTGGTTATAAGTTATATGTAGTCTCCAGTCACATGTTGCCGAATCATGACACTCTTGCGACAAGACTTGTGACAAACGCGTCATGCTGTGGCAAAGAAGGCACCCGAAAAATACCAACTCCAAGAAAGGAACAAGAGCTTTGTTGCTGATGTCATCCTGTCATTTCATGAAAAACCCAGAACTCTTTGGATTCAACTGGGATCCTTTTGGTCTGAGGTTGTCACCCGTCTTGATGGCCATGATTTGCGAATTCATGCGCCTTGTCTTCTCTTGCGCCAAGGGAATGAGCGACGTACTGGCGAAGCAACCCACGTCCAGGAGCCCCCGCTACTCACGGCTGGTCCGCACAGAAGAAGAAGCTGACTTGGAGAGTCCATCGGTTCAAGCAAAAGAACCTGACAGGCAGGATTTGTCCTTATTCTTCCTTCCAATAGCAATGGCCTCCAACCTGATAGCACTGCCTCCGAGCAAATAGCGATGGCCTCCAAGCAAATAGCGATGGCCTCCGAGCCAATAGCGATGGCCTCCGAGCAAATAGCGATGGCCTCCAACCTAACAGGGATGGCCTCCAACCTAATAGCGATAGCCTCCAAGCAAAAGAACCTGACAGGATCTGCTCCATTCTTTTTCCGCTCATTGTCTACCACGTCACATGTGCTGGCATAGTGGCCCTTGCCATGTTCAAAGGATGGCTTTCAATTGATGGAGGTGGCTTGCCTTTGGAGCTTTGGGTGCTTTGGCAACAGCTGTGCCTTTGGAACCTGTTTCTGCAGAACCTTGTTCGATGCGTGATGCTGGATACTTGGGCTTGGTGAAGAGCATGTTTAATCTCCGTTCTAGCTTTCAATTCAATTGCGAGCAACATTGATATGTCAGTCAGCTAGATTCTTCTTTCTTGGACTTTTCATACCACTTCCAGGATAGCGATGCTTTGAAGGCATCTACATTCTCAGTGGTGCTTGTGTACACAGCGCCGTTTGTGAGTGAACTGGCAGACACGATGAAGGATTGGGTGGTGACGGGCATTTGCATCCTCCACGCAGAGACGTGGATCGGCTTCGTGATCGGAGCAGCAATTTTCGGGATGGAAGCCACTGCTATTGTGATCGGTTTGATTCCGGATCTTTATTTGTCTTATTCAGTCATCTTGCTGCTGGCAACTGGACAATGATCAATCAAGCATGTTTTTCTTGATGTTCATATCACTGGACCTGGGAACAACTTCTACACCCCCGTGTTTGCTGTGCATGTTTGTTTTGTTTTTCTCAGCCTGAAGCAAAAAGGGGAAAGGAAAGGCATGTGTATATACTTGGACTCCAAAAAAGACGTTTGTCTTCTCCCGGTGGGTGCAATTTTCAGACGAAGCTCAAAAAAAGCAACACAACATACAATGTTTGTGTCGATGTTTGGTACTGCTCTGCATTGTATGTTGTCACTTCACTTCTGCGTCATTTTGGTGTCATGTTGTCTATCGCGCACTTGCTGCATCTTTCTGCGTCATGTTTTCCGTCGAGACGGAAAGTAACACATCTTTTCAGGGTCCAGGTATAACATATTTTAACAATCAGCCCCATGTCACAAGAGGAATCAGCCCCATGCAGGGTTTTCCTGGAGATTGAATGAACAAGAACAGCTTTCACAGGCTCAAGTTGTCAAGAACCAGGGGAGAAGCAACGTTCTTCTGAAACCTAACTGGAAAACCCCCTACTTCAGTCTCCCCCCCTTGGTTGCCGCTTGGTTGCTCTTCGCTTTCAGCCTTGGAATACACTATGCACATCTGCGAAACCACGCAAGGTGCCACCTAGCACACTTGTTCACTGCTTAGATCACATAAAATTCAACTGTGATGGCGCCGCCAGCCAAGGGCACCCTTTGCTCACCAGCCACAGCACACGCGCACATCCAAGAGCATGCTTGGGTGGCCGACTTGCAGTCATTTCGAGTCAGTCATTTTTTTGTCGCAAGAATCTGGTTCTCCCTTCTCAATTGAATCTGAAGAAGCCTCTCCTGTCGCCAATCAGAAAGTGCCAGTGGGTTTAACCAGCAGAACCCCGCGAAACTACCGGCCACAAGCAGCAAAAAAGGTCACAGAACTGGACTGCAAGATTAACAAATGACATGCAATTATAATCAATTATATACATCATTACTTATACTTTTTGTGGCACTTGTCTACTTTGCTCCTCGGCCTTTCTGCGTTTGACATTCTTCACGGAAAACCGCACTCAGTTTGCGCTGGAGCCAAGCTGGTGCTGAAATCTGATTCCGGACTGGGAATTCCTTTCGTTCGCCATTGGCGCAATGGTGTGATTCAATCATCTCTCGGTTTGCTTCTGGTAGTTCCAACCTCGTCCCTCGACTCAGCATGTTCGACCATCGACCGACGGCGGAACCGTGAGGCATTGGGGTTGAGGGATTGGAACTGCACGGAGACCGTGAGGGATTGGAACGATGCATTCTGAGAAGGACAAAGTACCCGCTGTTCTTTTAGTCCAGCTGTTTGCCAGGACTACACTTGATGTCAATCAACATGCCTGATCATGCCTGCATGCCTGCGACCCTTGCTCAACAAACTTGGAAGCCGTGTTCCAAAAGTTTAGTGTTGAACACTTCAACCGTCACAACTCCTGTATGACAGCATGTTCCAACCAGGTGGAAAGCAAAAAAAGGAAAACCTGAGCTGTCCTCCATACCGGGGCACTCAAGGAAGCCCAATTGGCATGAAAATGGTGGAAAGGTGGGATGCTCAGGAGACTTGCAGGCGGCACTTGTGTGTACACAGGATGCTCTAGGAACACTCGGTCTGTATCCAACCAATGATAGAACAACGCCTTATACAGACTGTGTTGGAAATGGCGTCCTCATGCTTCCTCCATCTCCCGCACTTCTCAGGCAGCTTGAGACATCATCATTTGTGTATGATATTATTTGATATTATGATGATATTATTATGTTGTTTTCTGAGATTTTTCCGAGGCACTCTATGCTGCACTACTTCTGGCACGCTTCCATCTTTGGCTACTGATCCTCGGAGCCATTCCAGCCCTTGCAGCCATGCTTTGGAAGGCAGGATCTAACAAAAGCGACTTTCGGCCTTCAGGGGCGGCTGAAGAAAAGGCATTGCCTTTGCCTTCTTGGTGCGGCCCTATCCTATTTGTGGGCAGCTTCTTTTGTTTTTTGATCCCTGACCATTTGCGTCAGATTGACACTCTATGTCAGAACTGGGCACCAACAGTCTTCCGGTGCTTGGCTGATGGAGGTCTCCTGGCAAGTGTTTCGATCTACGTGATTCTGAATTCCCACATTCATATTTTCGAGAATGAAGACTGTGTGCGTGACCTCCGAAAGAGATACAGGGCCATTTTAGAACTTCCATTGAAGCCTACAAATACAGATAGAGAAACATGCTGTGAATGGATGGGAAGCAGAATTTCCAATCTTTGTGTGGACTTCTTAAGCAGCGCTCGATTAGTGATCGCATGGTCAGAAGACATACCACAAGGGCTCATTGGTGTGGTGTTAGTGCTGAGATATGCGGGGCGCAACGGTATTGGATTTGCAGGCATCTCTGCAACAATCAGCAACTCGGCAATATGTTGGGATTTTGCATGGATTTTCATGTTGGGATGTCCAAGGCTAAGGAGACCAGATTTCTGGTGGCACCCATGTACACCCCGATCGGTCCAATCCTTTTGACTCTGTGAGGCATTTTGAAAGGAATATTGATCCCTGCTGGGCAGCAAGTGATGCTGCGGTTTCGCCGTGCTGAATTCCAGCGAGGCTTGGAGGACATCATGGAGCAACAAGAAACCCTGGCTGAGAGGCTGCAGGGACCACCTCTGAACCACCAGAGCCTGCAGATCGCAGTCGCCGACTTGCTACAGGAGGAGTCCGAGGACTTGTTGGAAAGCGTCGGAAAGTCGGATCAGTCGATGCGAGACACGAGGATCAAGTGGCTTCGAGATGCTGGAGAGAAGCTGAGGTGTCACGTGGTGACCGGGTATTTCAAGGAAGGCTTCTCGGCACAAGAGCTTTTCGACTTGGGCCACATGACTGGAAATTGCAAAGACGCTGGTTTCTCGGCAAAACAGTGCAAGGAAGTAGCAAGCTTCTCTGCAAAGCAGTGCAAGGAGGCTCAGTTTTCCGCGAAAGACCTCAAGGACGCAGGATTTTCAGTGATTCAGTGTAGGATTGTCGGCTTTGAGGACGCTGCTTGCAAAGAGGCAGGCTTTCCGCAGGAGTTGAGTCGTGAAGTCAATGCACATGATTATAAAGATGCAGGCATGTCGGCCATCGATTGCAGTAAAAAGGGGTTCTCAGCCCAAGAATGCAAAGAAGCGGACTTTCCTGCGAGTGAGATGAAGACAGCTTTTTCAGTGCAGTTGCTGAGAGAATTGGGTTTCTCTGCCAAGCAGTGCAAGGAGGCCGGGTGCTCGGCGAAGGAGTGCAAAGAGGCTGAATTTTCTGTGAAAGAGTTTAAGGATGCAGGCTTTTCAGCTGTTCAGTGCAAGATTGTTGGCTTTGAGGCCACTGCTTGCCAAGAGGCGGGCTACTCTACAGAAGAGTGGACTCGCAAAATCACTGCACGAGATTACAGAGATACAGGTCTTTCATGCATAGACTGCCATGATGTAGGTTTCTCGGCAAAACAATGCAAGGAAGCGGGTTTTTCTCTTGAAGAAATTCAAGATGCTGGCTTCTCAGACCAGCAGCTCAGACGATCTGGATTCGTTGAGGAACCGCGTGGCCCGCGTGGATGAGTCAGGCACACCTTCTTGAAGCACTTGTCTCACACAAAGCCAACACACTTCAAATGATGTGTTCAATGCCAACACGGAATTCCCAGCTGTTTGGACGCTGGAGAAATCCGACATTAAAAATGTCCAATGATCAATGGAAGAGGCTTCTTGGCCCAAAAATCGTTGAAGACCGCTCTTCGCTGCGTCGCTTCGGGAGTATAAACCTGCGTTTAAGTTGCAAGTGGCCCAAGATGAGCAACTGGCATTGTTGGCTTTCGTTTCAATATTCCACCCTCATGTCATGTAATGGCCTAGTTCTTACCAACATTTTGGCCGGCATCATGTTCAACAAGTTTCACTCTAATGTAGACTCTTGATTCATGAAAAAACCCTACCAAGCGAAAAACCTCGTTACATGGGGAGGTTAACAATCAAGAGCCTACATTATGATCCGAGCGGACTTTCGACACGGTGAGGCCTCACAGATTCATAACGTTCATTGCGGACCCAGAGAAAGACCAGAATTACAAACACCTGAAATCAATGGAAGTGGAAAAGCAGCACCGTTTGAATATTCGGATTGCGTGGTACATCCTTTCGGGGGCCAGTTTCATGCATTTTCCAGGTGAGAAGTGGTGATTCCAGGGAGTGACTCCACCAATTTTGTGTTTGAGTATTTCTTCCTACCGCCACTTGTGAAGCCACGAAGGCGGTGAGAGGCGCCGACCGTTGGCAACCAACCATGGGCGTGGTGGAGGAGCGGTATGGCCGGCCGCCGCTTGGTCGGTCAAGGGGCGACAAGAGCAAAAAAGAAAGGATCAAGGCAGTGCAAGCACATGCAAGCACAAATATGGTTTACATTGTATTGCTGGTACATCATATATAGAATTTGACGGGGTGATTTGCCGTTGTTTTTGAATGCGAATAGTTGTACTCCGAGAAATCAACTGGTCGCAGTAGTGTTAATCTGATTTGTTCTTTGTCGGCGAATCTACTTTGGGGAATACAGCAGGAGTATTAATTATTCATATTTGTGTTTTCCCTATGATTGGGAAACCACCAACGGCGGTTGCTTCTTACTGATGGTTTGGATTCTAGATGGCACATATTAGTGCTCGAGTTGAATACTCAAGTTGATTGCCCAGTTGGCCCCCAAAATGGAGCACGTGTTGTTCAGATGGAGCGCGTTCTGGAAGCTTTCTCAGAACGGAATTGCCAAACCAAGAGACGGCTTTGCGGTGTCCAAACGCATCAACGGCTTAGCCAGTAATCTTCTTTCTTGGAGATCTCAATGGATGGTTTCATGAGGTTCTTCGGCATGGAACATTCAATATTGGAAAACTCGTGCACAAAAAAGAAGACAGACACCTTTTCGTCCAACATGTTCACTTTTTGAAGGTTTTTTAGAAGATGGCCCCCTAGGCTGCGCTCACTTGGCCTTCGCTTTTCTCGCTTCCCGTGAAAGTACACCGCACTCCTTGGATCTCGAACTCGGGCTTTCGGAGTCTGGAGCAACTCCTAAAAGGTGGACTACTCTGACTCAATCGATGTGTTGATGAATGTAAAGGGACACTCAATTGAGAGTGTTTTTGTTGTGTTTTCTCATGTTGTTTCCTGCAACTCTCAACAGGTGCAAGAAGAGAGTTGCATGAATGTCTCGTCACATTCGATGGTGGATTTCGGTGTTCGGACTGCTGGTGAAGGCGTGACAGCAGTTCTCACGGGCTTCGACATGGTGAAAAGACTGTTAACTGGTCTTGGTACAGTCATGTAATGCAAACCTTGAACACGGGGAGAGACACTCTGACATTGGTTTTCAGTTAACTCAATTCCCAGGAGAAAAGGAGTGGCATAACGGCAAGGTGAAGAGTCCGATCAATTGAAGGTGTTTGAACATTGATGTTTCTCTCATCTGCAGTAGTGCAACAGCAGCGCGCGAGCACAAGCGGCTAACGGAAAGGTTTGGGGGAGGAAACATGTAAGGACCATGGAATCAAACCGATCAAATTGGACAGCTTGATCAACAGTTGCATCGCAGGTACAGGAAACTGGCCAGGGACGGAGTGTGACACACACACACACAAGCAGTGTGCTCGGAAGATGTAAAGTCTAGCACGAGATAGCACAAGCAGGTTTTCAGCAGCTTGTCTATAGGTCAAACATGTGTGTGGTGTTCGCCGCTTTTGCGACATGAGCTTCGGAAAGCAAACAAGTTCAGATCGGCTTGCTCCGAATCTCCGTAAACCTCATGTCCATCCTCAGCAGCCGGGCAATTCCTTGACCTCTTCGTCCGCTCTCCGCGGCCGAGGCTTGCAGCGACTGCGGAGCTCGCGGAGCTCTGCCGTGCGTCGGAACGTCGGCCGCTCGGTGGAGGTCCGACCGGTCGGGGCCGGTCTTCCGTTGGAAGACCGGTTTCCGTCTGGTCTGTTCGAGTGTTATTTTAAGGGATAAGAGCTCGGTTCCTGATCAAAGAGACATGAGCAAGGGGACATGACAGAAAAAGACCGGATGAGTTGGCACACTTCTGCAGGTGTATTTTTCAGTTAGGGATGATGTATCCGTCAGGTTTGTGTAAAGCGTCAGATCTGCACAGACGTGGACTGCTAAAAGACGTCTTCAAGCATGTGGCTATGTATTTAATAGGGAGACCTCCCAATTCGACCCCAACGAAGAAGGAAAATTAACCAAGACCCATTGGTTAAGTGGGGGATTTCCTTGTTAAAATACACACCCACGTGTTACAGTGATCCATCAGTGATCCATGTCTTGCGTTTGTCGGTTTGTCTCAAACGACATTCTCTCCGAGCAGTTGCTGTTGTTACCCATGTACGTTTGGGACGGGTGAACTATTGAGAACATTGACTTGTTTCGAACCCAGACGCTCCGTTCACAGCCCAACTCCCTCAAAACCGGGATTTGAGACCGACCCTTCCAAAGGGATTCGGGTCCGAACGGGTCGCGTCGGGAACCTGAAAGGCCGCCGTGGGTCGAACGCGAGCTCGACACTCGAAGATTTGGGCTGAACACGGAGTCGCAGCGGCCAAAGAGACGCTGCGCCGCGCGCCTCGTTTCACGATCGACATGCTGCTGATTCCTGTACCCAATGTGGTGGGAGTCATGAGCTGGATGGTGGAGATGTGTAGCATCAAGATGTGGAAGCTCGTCTTGAAGGCAAGACACCTCGGTCACCTGGGAGAAGATATCCTCTAAGGATTTTCATGCAAGTGCCCACCCCTTCTACGAGGAAAGAAGAGGGTGGTGTGAAACCGTTTGTTCCATCCATTTTGGCCAAGCTGCGTAGTTTTCCACTCAGGAAGGAATGCACTGCCGACCTCAATTGCCGAACGAACCACTTGCCCTCACTCCTCACGCAGCCCCCACAACGCTTCCTGCCAAAGCTTTCTGGAATTGACGACGAGGAGGCATCCGCAAGGCTTCACTATTGGGGGTCCATTCTCCTGTTGCTCAGTTTAGAAGCAAGCTTTTTGCTAGCATTGATTTGGGTCAACAAAAATACGCCTAACTGAGACATTGGTGAGCAGCAGGAACCTTCATTTGAAATACAACAAGATGGTTGTTGACAAGTGAGGTTGTCACCCGTCTTGATGGCCATGATTTGTGAAGCGATACGCCTTTGCTTCTCTTTTGCCAAGAAGATGCACGGAACACTGGCTAAGGGATCGTCGGGCAGTGCCTACAGACAGCTTGAACTCACAGGAGATGAGAAAGACTTGGAGAGTCCCATGATTGCAATAGAACCCGATCATCCGTTCAAGGGACCCCACACGATGTTCATTTGTCCGCTCGTTTCCTACCACCTCACTTGTGCGGGCATCGTGACCCTGGCGATCGTCAGCGGTTGGCTTTCGAGCGAAGGAGGTGGTTTGGCCTGGGAACTTTGGGTCCTTTGGCAACAGCTGTGCCTTTGGAACCTGTTTTTGCAGAACTTGGTTCGATGCACTATGCTGGATGCTTGGGTTTGAAGACATCACATTCCTATAGAACTCTATTCTGGATCACCAAGCCCCCCCAAGTATGGTCCAACTAAATCCTATCGAAACAGGGGTCACGTTTGGGTTCCAGGTTGTCAGGATATTATTGTTTCAAGCTTTCACAGTTTCAATCTTGCAGACCAATCTGGGTCTTTCAGACGTGCCTGACCAATTCGAGGACAGCGGTGCCTTGAAAGCATCGACTTGCACGACCGTGCTGGCATACACAGCGCCATTTGCGAGCGAGATGGCAGACACGATGAAAGATTGGGTGGTGACGGGAATTTGCATCCTTCATGCAGAGACATGGATCGGCTTCCTCATTGGAGCAGCGATTGTTGGGATTGAAGCCGCTGCTATTATGATTGGATTGATTCCGGATCAATCTCATTTTTCTTATTCATTCATCTTGCTACTGGTGACATGGCAAGGAATCGGTCACGTTCTTTCGATGTTGAACTTTGATGGGTACGTTGTAAAACCTCCTTCTTGCCAGAAAGAAGTAAGGCACGTCCAAAGCACTGTCCACAGCAAGTTGAAAGTTGTCCAGGGTTCTTCTTGTGGTCTTTGGACAGCTTTCGTGAGTGTGTTTAATCCCGATTGAATAGGAAGGCTATAATTATATATACCAATTAGACCAAACAAGAACGAAAAAGGCTGGAGGCCATCGCTATTAGGTTGGAGGCCGCTGGCGCCACATGTCCTGGTGGTCCCGTTGGATCCCTTTGCGTCACGCGTTGATCTCTGTGTCCGTTCGCGCGTTCGATGCGAAAGACGGACACTCCCAAAGTGTGGTCACATGCAGCCTGAGCTGGAAGACGTCATGAAAAACGGTTGTTCATTCTCCGGTGAAGCTCCAGGTGCATTTGTTGATCGTCTTATGGGGCAAACACATCACTATCTCGCCTCAGTCCTCGAGTTTGGAAGCACCCGCAAAGCAATTTCAGGCAACTCTTGACTCAAATCGGAGGAAGCGCCACAAAGGCAGTTGCGCAAAGAATGCGACAGGTGCGGGCGGCGATACTCGGGCGGGTGCCGTCATGCTGATGAAGGGTGTTCGGCTCGTGAGCGATGCCCACAGTTGACAAATGAAAGGCTGCGCCGGCTATGCAAGGTACAGACTTCTCGACCAGAGTACAGATTCTTAGCCAAAATTTGAAGAATGATAAAAGGCTAATAATAGATGCTAATTGTAGATACTTCTTCAGAGAACTTCCGATGAAATGGAAAGGCGGAGACTTCATGAGGTTTTTGGAGAACGCAGAAAAGTAGGGTGTCGTAGAAGAGCACATAAAATTTGGATCGGAGACAATATATATATATAGCATATTATAGCAACTTCTATACGTCAATCACCAGGCACACCCAAAATCACCTGCAATTTATGACAGCGTCACAGCATCACAAATCGACACAAAACCAACAGTTAATCAATCCATTTCAGTCTTGCTTGTGATGAAAAATACAAGGATGCCGGCTTTTGTTTCAAAAGTACTTTGTCTTTTCCGTGCAGGCTTCAAACTTTGGAAAACAGAGTCGACTAATACTTGTTGAATCCGTTTCTTTGTTCTTCGAATTGGTTGCGAAATATATACCTCTTGCAGGCCCTCCATTCTGCACTACTTGTAGCACGTTTCCACCTTTGGGTCATGCTTCTCGGAGCTGTTCCAACAGCCGTTATGGTCCTGATCTTTGAGCGGGGACCGACGGCTCGGGTTCATCCATTGAAGCTCTCCTGCAGTTTGTTGGGCTGCACCATCGCAAGTTTCTACATTTTGATCCCGGGCCATCTACCTCAAATTGATTCTCTATGTCAGGTTTTTGCAGAAGAAGCCTTCCGGTGGTTGGCTGATGGAGGTCTCCTGGCAGTTTTGTCGATCTTTGTTATTATACATTCTCACATCCACGTTAATCAAGTTGAAGACACCGCGCGAGACCTCCGGAAGACCTACAGGGCCATTTTGGAGCTCCCATTGAAGCCTACAAATCCTGATGGAGAAACATTCTGTGAGTGGATGGAAAGACGCTTCACCAATCTTTGTGTGGATTTCCTGAGTGGTGCTCGACTGTTGATCGCATGGTCAGAAGACATACCACAAGGAGTCATTGGTGTGGTGCTGGTGCTGAGATATGCAGGGCCCAACGGCATTGGATTTGCGGGAGTCTCCGCCATCATCAGCATGTCCAAAGGAATTCTGATCCCTGCCTTGCAGCGGGGTCTCCTGAATCGCCGGCGAAGTCAAGTACAGCAAGGCTTGGAAGCCATATGGCTCTCTCAGAATGAACGAGTTTTAAAGAAGTTTTTGGCCATCTCACCAGTCAGCCATGAGAGAGTGCGAATTGAGGTTGAAGAGCCGTTGTGGGTGGAGTCTGGGGATCTACTGAAACGCTTGAATGTCGACCTTGTTCAGAAAATTCAAGATTTGAGAGAGGATTGGCTACAAGATGCTTTCGAGCGCATCAGACGCCACCTGGTGTCCGGCTATTTGAAGCAAGGGGTTTCTACGAAAGAGCTCTTTGATTTAGGCTACATGACCGGAAATTGCAAAGATTCCGGCTTCTCAGCAGGACAGTGCAAAGAGGTGGCTGGCTTCTCTGTCAAAGACTGTATAGAGGCAGGCTTCTCCCCAAAGGATTGCAAAGAGGCAGGGTTTTCGTGCAAGGAGTGCAAGGATGCAGACTTATTTGCCACTGAGTGCAAGGACGCGGGTTTCTCCCCCAAACAATGCAAGGAAGGAGGCTTCTTGGCCAGGCAGTGTAAAGAGGCTGAGTTTTCTGCAAAAGAATTTAAGGATGCAGGTTTTTCGGCCATACAGTGCAAGATTGTTGGCTTTGAGGCCACCGCTTGCCAAGAGGCGGGCTACTCTACAGAAGAGTTGACTCGCGAACCCACTGCACGAGATTGCAAAGATGAAGGCCTCTCAGCCAAAGACTGCAGAAGGTTAGGGAACTTTTCCTTACGCGAATTCAAGGAGGCTGGCTATTCTCTGAAGGAGACCATGGAAGCAGGCGTCTCCTGGCGCAAGGAGGCGCAACATGCCGGTTTTTCAGCCAAGGAATGGAAGGCCTGGGGAGCCCCTGCGGAGGGGTTAAGGAGCCTGGGCTTCAAGACCTTGGAGCTGCAGGATGCTGGCTTCGCCTAAGATTGACTGTCAGAGTCGAGGGACTGCCGTCCATATCATCTTCCAAGCAGATCAGAATCCCTGCAAGTCTTCGATTGTTGTTCGACCTGGCGCTCTCAATGCGGCCGGCTAATGGCTGGCTTCTCTTTTGAGGAGGATGATGATGCTGGTTTCTCTGACGATTTGGAATTTGGAGGATTCAGCGCACTAAAGCAGCTGCAGTGATTCAAAAGAGATGATAGAGCACTGTGATCGTTTCCGCATCGTTTTGACGTGGCTGAAAGGAGCTTGACCCTTCTTTTGGCTACGATCTAGTTTGATGCCTAGATTTCCCTGAAATCTAGCTTTCTCTATAGTCTAACCATCTCTAGTTGTTTTCTCCTTGGCTTACTCAAGAGTTACGCCACCCCTGAAATACACGGCACTGCTTGTAATGCCAGGTGAAACAATCCAGAAACTGCAGATTTTTCACCAACAGATTTCATCACGCCCTCCAGATGGAGGAGATTCTGATGCTGAAAAAACCAACTAAACCCTATGACCTAGAGTATCCCATGTCCTTGCACGGCCTCCCTTCTTGGGTCCTTTCTCCTCGACCAAGGTCATGGAGAACACCATTTCGCTGTGTAGTGGATCAAGCTGGCACTGTGCGAAGAGGCCTTCGCCAGCTGACTGACCCGGCGCACGTGTTCTGACAGGGTCTGACTCGCTGTTTTGGGGCTTCGAACCTCGTCCTCGGCGGCGAAGCCGTCCTCGGTCGACAGCACCAGAAGGGGGGAGAAGATCAGCGTTGGTCGCGTGAAACAGGGATCGATTATGTGAGAACGAAGACACCGGCAGTTGACAGTTGAGCACATCAGGATCCACGATGCACAGGGCTTTTGACATGCTGCTCTGAAAGGATGTTTCAGTCAGATTGTTTAACTTGTTTGCTATGAGATGTCAGTTGGTGACCTTTAATTTAAGAGGATTCATCACCAGTACTTGGATGCCAGTTTGTTACAATGCCAGTTGATTAGAACTCTGGCAAGATGAAAAGGTAGCAACCCTCACCTCTCACCCACATCACACCCACGCTCGCTTCTGAAGCATTGTGTGAAGACAAGAAAGAAACACCGTCCCGTGCGAAAAGCTGGCAGCTGGTTGTTTCCAATCCGCCGGTTACCTGGAAATCACCAAGCAATTGGTGTACAGTGTGTGTGTGTGTGTGCGCGTGCGCGTGCGTGCGTGTGTTTGAACACATTGAGATGTCTTCTATTTATCTCCTCGCGCTTGAGTGCGTCCTCACATGTGTCCTCACATGCGCATCTCAACGGAAGACATTTCCAGACAACTTCTTGGCGAGTTTACCACATTATAGACTAACTCATGGGAGGTCTATCCATAGGTCATCATCTCATCATAGCGTAACTGTTGGGTCTATATGTCCATACCTGGCTTTGCTGAAGCTGAGCTGATTTGTTCTTTTCCATTGTTAAAAACTCTGTTTCTAAGAAATATATGGTGCCTTTGTTTTTCCAGGCTCCTTTTTTAGCATGCAAATCCAAGCAGACCCGTCAGGCTTCTTGGGGTCTCTTCAACCCCACTCGGCCCTGCCCTTCGCACCGGTGACCCAACCGAACCATCGGCACCGAACCGCTCGGCGCCAGGAATCGACCGAGTCGCTGGACCTGGGGGGTTTCGAAGACGAAGCGACCGTGAGAACAACTGGCCACTGTGAGAACGGCATGGGAACAGCCATGCCGTTGATCCTGTATCTCTGTTTTATATATATATAATATATAGCACTTTTTAGCATTGTGATTGGACACATGCAACGGTGTGTTTTTTTTTTTAACGTTTCTGGGTCAAAGCTGGTCGTGGGTGCAGGTGGCACGGTTTGGTTCGGAACTCAAGGTGATTGTTTATAACATGTTCTCTACCAGCACCCTCCAACAGGCTGTTAGTTGAGGGTTGTTGGACCCTAACAGGTCTCAATTGGTGACCTGTCGGAGGGTCCTGGTATGGTTAAATCACGAAAGGTTAATAGGCAACCAGTTTGATAAGCTTTAGGAGCGGGATTCCCGGTTAAATTCCCTTCTGGGGAATATTCACTTGGTTTTTCCAGGTTCCTTAGGCAAATCCAAAAATCCTGTCCGAGTTCCAGACAGCTTTAACGTGCTTTAGCTGGATAAAGATGGTCTTGAGTTGAAGGCCGGATGTACCATCACCAATGCCCACTCGCTTCGGAACCGCCAATTGATCAGGGCAATTGAACAGTGGCCTACCCACTGTTCTTGCTCACATCCACAATCACAGTTTCACCGGTCAAAGCGCAAACGTCTCCGCAGCCTTCGTCAGACGGTTACAGCCGTCTGATGTCTGGACCCAGTCCAAAGGTCGAGCCGCGAGCCGCACTCAAAAGAAACGGTTCATTAACAAGCCCTGTCATTTGGATGGTAAAACCTCTTACTTCAGACTTCATATGATGGAGGGTTTGTTGATGGTTTTATCTAACAGTTGACTCAGTTGACCGTTTTATGGAAAAACATGCATATATCACCACAAAGGTCAATAGGTCGACGTTCGTCTCTTATAGGTCACCGTTCTTGTGGTCACCGAGGCCCTCCGGCGTGGCCACCGCCTTCCCGACCTGGAGCAACCGGTGGCTCGGCAAGTCGGAGCCCCAGGAGAGTCGAACGAAGCCCCAGGAGAGTCAGCCGCAGGAGAGTACGAAGCATGGCTGTTGATACTGATCATGATACAGTTGACACAGTTGACTGAGCAGCAAACAGCCATCCCTCCCGTGGAAGACATATTAAGAAATCACGAGCGGGAAGGTTGGTTTCATGGATTTCGTTCAGATCTTTTTCAGTCATGCGAATCTCACGAAGTTGTGAAGCTGGTATGGCTCTTCAGGGTTGTGGAGGTTGAATTTGTTGCACACGGTCCTTCCGCATGTTCAATCTGGTTGTTGGTGTTCAGCCCCTTCTGGTTGTTCGCCGAAGGGAAGCGAAAGGAAGGATGGGAGATTTCGTTGCTTTTTGGGCACCACAGAGCAATCCCATAGGGATTTGCCGCGGCCAAAGACGCCGCGCTATTTCACGTTGCTTCTGACCTCCAGCAGCCTCGGCATGGCGTGGATTCCTGTACCAAATGTGGTGGGATTCCTGATCTGGATGGTGGAGATGTGTAACATCAAGATGTGGAAGCTTGCATTTTTGACCAACAGACGAGTTTTTTTGAATGAACCTAGGGCGGTAGGACCAGCATATATATGTCATCATGTCCATGAGTTTGTCCCCGCTGATTTATTTTGCCAGTCACAGTCAGGAAACATCTCCAACATATCCATATAGCTTCTAAATGCGTTTAAAGCCCTTTGGACTTGACTCATGTCAATGTCTTCTGCCTGCATCAGTTCCCCTGCCCAGGAAGCATTGCACTTCCAACCTCAAGTGCCGAACCGAAAGCTTGCCTTCACTCCTCGTGCAGCCTCCACAGCGATTCCTCCCTGAACTGGCCAGCATTGAGGAGGAAGAGTCCGAAGCAAGGCTTCACTATTGGGGGGGCCGTTCTTTTGTTGCTCAGCTGTGCTGAGAGGGCAGGCTTTTTGGAAAGATTTGTTGCTTAGAAGGTATACCGGTATACCTGAATTGGGTGAGGTTCTGTGACTTAGGGAGGAACTACTACAGGGGAAATGCAGTAACTACATGCCGTTGCTTTTGGGTTCTCGGCGCCAGGCAAAAATCAGATAGGCCAAAGTTGGTACCCATTGTTTTCAGATCAGTCTTTTTATACAAGTGAGGTTGTCACCGGTCGTGATGGCCGGAACTTGCGAATTCCTTCGTTGTTGCTTTTGGTTCGCCAAGTGGATCTCTGGACCCTCCAGCTATACACACCTGAAAGAGAAAGAAGATGAGGCGGATCAGATGGACGACTTGGAGAGTCCGATGATTGCAACAAAAACCAATCATCCCTACAAAGGACCGAGCGTGTCTTTTGGACCGAAAGACACCTATCGAAGGCGCTGTTTAGAAATGATACACTCCCTGGAACATTCCACCACAAACAGGTGGTTTTCCACTTCCACGTTAGTTCTAGGGAGAGTAGGCCCAAGATCTTTTTGCGAATGAACTTGACCATCCCTACAAAGGACCGAGCTGTTGTTTCACCTTGGCACTCATTTCCTACCACCTCACATGTGCGGGCATTGTGACCTTGGCCATCTTCAGCGGTTGGCTTTCAAGCGAAGGAGGTGGTTTGGCCTGGGAACTTTGGGCTCTTTGGCAACAGCTGTGCCTTTGGAACCTGTTTCTGCAGAACTTGGTTCGATGCGTGATGTTGGATGCTTGGATGGGCGTGTAACTCTTGATGTTCCATTCTACGTTTCTCAATGACAGAGTTTCTTTATGCGTGTAAACCCATATAATATTATTGATCTATCATGATTCTTTGATTTTGATTCGGCATATTCACATGTTTCATATCAAGTCAAGGATAGTAATGCCTTAAAGGCGTCTACTTGCACGACGGTGCTGGCATGTACAGCGCCCTTTGTGAGCGAATTGGCCGATACAATGAAGGATTGGGTGGTGACGGGAATTTGCATCCTCCATGCCAAAACTTGGATCGGCTTTGCCGTGGGAACAGCCGTGGTTGGGATCGAAGCGCTTGCAAGAATCAGAAGCTGGGTTCGAGATCGATCCGGTCATTTTTCTTATTCCTTCATTTTGCTACAGGCCACGCGGGAATGAAAAGATTCAGATATGAAAAAGGTGATTGAAGTTGTTATTAGGTTGGAGGCCATCGCTCTTAGGTTAGAGGTCATCGCTCTTAGG